TATACAGCAGCTTTGTTACTGTTAGCTAAAACTATTGTAAAAAATAATACAAATTAGATGAAAATGTAAAAGTAAAAACTAAAATGTTAATACAAAGCTATAGAAAAACTTAATAAAATGACTTAAAAAAAAGTACATAAAATGACTCAAACCTAATTTATTTATTTATATTTATATATATATATATATATATATATATATATATATATATATGGGGTGCTGTGTGTACATTAATGAGGAAAAAAAAATTAACTTAAATGATTTTAGCAAATGGCTGCAATATAACAAAGAGTGAAAAATTTAAGGGGGTCTGAATACTTTCCGTACCCACTGTATATATATATATATATAAACAAAATATTCAAATACACAAATATTCAGGACTCAACAAAATCCCACTGATGGTTTTTGTCCCTATTTGCCGAAGCAAAACCTGGAAACTTCCACCATTGCTTAAAAATAATATCAGCCACACGCCATTCTAACATCTTAACATCTAATATTTCCCCTCCTGCCGTTTCACTAACCACTGTCAGCGAGATCCTTAACGACTCGCGCCAATCAAAGCTGACATATCACAGAGTGAGATCACGTGGAGAAAGCAGAATTCAAAAAGAAGAAGGAAAAGACAGAGAAGCATTTCTTATATTTGTAAATCTCATGTATGTATAACGGATGCTTCTTTTCTTAGAATTACAATAAAAGACACTGCAAGAATCTGAAACTGGATGTGCATATTCAGTGTAATACAGTATATCACGCAGTGAGCGGCAACTTTATATTGTATCTGGGTTTAGAAATGTCAGTTTCTCTTTCAGTTGCACTTAAACACACGTTATTCCCATAGAAGCAAAGCCTGGGGCAAGTTGTCACGAGGTCAATATCTCGGTAACTATGAGGTTTTAAATCAAGTTCAGTTACACTAATATTTTTCTCTAGCACTTTATGCTTTTGTCCAATTTTTGAGAAGAGACTTTAACGCATTATTTAATCATTGATAATATAGTAATAATTAAAAATATTTCAAAAATTCTGTCATTAAACAATTTACTATATATTACAACTGTATATAAGCATCTATACACACAAAAAAAATAAATGCATAAATATTAAACGAAAAAATAAATAATAATAAACTTAAAAATAAAATGTTTTCTCTCTTCCTAAATGACAAAACCATTTTTAAACTATATTTGTGGTTTGCCAAATTTTTTAGAAAATATATTAAATAGCCTAAAATGCATAATTTAATAACTGATAATATATTAAATGAACATATATTGTGCAATATGGTCTATATATATATATATATATATATATATATATATATATATATATATATATATATATGTGTATATGGGTCAAAGACGAAAAAGGGTTTAAGCATAAAACAATAAGTGTAATACTGCTTTAAATTGTTGTTGTTTTTCCCCCCAAAAATTTAAAAGTTTTCTGTTTAATTTAATTGCAATTCTGTTTTTGTTTTCGGAGCAAAAAAATAAATATCATACATTTTCCCCTGATTTACAGAAGAGAGCCACTAAAATGTCATTCAGTGTAGAAATCTTGTCAGGCATATTTACAACAAAAATCTATTTATGACATATTAAAAGACTAATTACTTTCACCCCAAATACTAATTAGTTGTAATTTTACATTTCTAAAATCCTAGGTTTTGCCCATTTGTCAGCAAGAATTTTTTACTCATTTAAAACACAATCAAATATAATACGCTCCTTTATTCTTTTATATATTTTAATATGTACACGTCAGAATAAGCATGTTTGAATTTTTACATAAATAGTGTTATACTGAATGGCAATGTAACATTATTTAAACCAAATTTTTGACATTTTATCCTCCAAAAACTTATTTGAAACCTTAAAAGTAGACATTTTACTTTCATTTAATGTGCTTTCTATGGACAATCACTTGTGTAAATTAATTTTGATGCGGACATCTTAACGTCTTTGACCCATATATAGACTTTATAAACACACACACACACACACACATACATACATATATATATATATATAAATGATTTATTTTTGTAAAAAAT